GTCTATAACAAACCCAAGTAACTCCCCTGATTGGACCGGTTGACCGGTTCCCATTGACATTTATCCTTATGAGCTACAAACCCACTGTCTGCAATGTCCTGTCTCACTAGGGTTGCTGTTTTTAGAGCCTCCTCCAAGCTAGTCTCTGCTCCAGCACCGTCATCAAGGTATGTAAAAACTCTGAACCCTTTCCCTCTCCAGTGTTTAACTAAAGCCCTCTGCACCTTAGAAAATACATACGGGCCAGTGGACAAACCAAATGGGAGGACTGTAAATTTAAAAAATTTTTGGACACCATTAACCTCCCATGAGCAACCAAGAAATTGGGTATGCTCAGGGAAAATCTCGATGTGATGATATCCACTGGCATAATCAAACTTGAAAAACCAATCCCCTTTTTTGAACAAGTTTGCAGCTGTCCGAATGTCCTCGTATTGGAACTTACAAGATCGCAAATGCTTGTTGACATAACGCAAGTCCAGAATCAATCTGGGCTTCTGTGCATTATTAAACACTACGCCCAAGGGATTACAGACAGTCAACTTGTGTGCTTTTACCTCCACTAGCACCCCAGATAACCGAAGTTTGGCTATTTCTTGTGTCACAAATTTGGATGATTTGAAAGCACTCCTGTGATTAGATAACACTACTTGCTCTGGCATATCAATAAACGGTAAACAGTATCCTTCCCGAATTATCTCCAGTACCCATCGGTTAGTCCCAATGCTCTCCCAAAAAGAAATGTTTTCTCGCAGTCGTCCCTTCACTATTGTACCTGAGCAAAGCTCCAAGTTTTCAATATCAACAAACGAACAATAATTTGAACCATCAATATTAGTACATGAATCATTCCTACTATTTACAAAGTTATCCCTCTCCCAATCACTGGGTATTTGGTTGCAAAGAGGGTCCACTAGGTTGTGCTCCATTAAAAGTGACTGTTCTTGTGTTTGCGGATCGACAATCCCTAGCGAAATGGCCGGGTCTGAGGCAACGAAAACAAACACCGCTTGTATTGTTTAATACGCAATACCTCCGACTTTCCCGCCAAAACTCCCCGTTGCGCGGGAAACGATGCTCTGTCAACAACGCCCTTACGTTCCGTTTGGGACCCGCTAGACCACATAAAGTGCCTCTTAGATTTCGTAGAATGTCCTAATTTCTTTTCTTTTTGTCTCTAATACGCTGACTCTCCTTCACAGCCTTTTTAATCCGTTTTTCATCGGCGGCAAGAGGCTCAGCAGTGTAGCATTCGACCGTGTCCCCTCGCGTGTCCCAACCAAATTTCTCTGCTAACAAAATATGTTTGTTTCTTTCATTAATTCATTTAGCAAGCTCTTACCTTCGTTCAACGCAGCCGTTAGTTGCTGTTTGTCGGTAGTCGTTAGGGCTACTTGAATCTTGTCAGCGACGCTGTTATTTAGCTCGTATTGTTTTTTGTTCCCCACATATTTGAAGACAGGTTCGAGTACTCGCTCATCCCGTGTCGACATAGACGTTCGACCACGCTCGATTTCGCTTTGTAGACGTTTTATTTCTTTTCTGTATTCCTCCTGGTTCTTTAACAACTCTCTCGCCCATTGTGGCGGTTCAGATGGCGAACGTGAGCGACTACGAGTCTCTGAACGACTGGCGGATTGTGAAGGACGCGACCTTGCTTTTTCGCCACTCGAATGGCGCGAACTTCGTCCCGGATCTTCTTCCCTCTCTCGAGGACTTTTATTGTACGGATCCAGGCGCCGTAACGCTCTAGAATCTGATTTAGATTGATTTGATTCTTTTGGCATGACTATACCAAGCCAACAAAGACAAATTTCGCAGTTTTCACTCAAGACAAAAATAACACAGGTCAGGCTTGCACAGGCAAGCAAAAGTGATTCGGTGACCTGGACCATAGATTATAGATCATACCAGATGTCTCACTGTGTATCTATCCCTATGATTTTCGTGTCCACGATTTTCGCGAGGCTATCACGCCCGATGACGCGTGCGACACTTACTGCCAAAATGGCGCTTACTGCCAAAATGCGTGATTGCTTACGTTGCATGGCGTGGATTACAGTTACTGCCAAAATGGCGGCCAACGCGTGCTCATAAAAAATCGCGGACACAATTTTGGCTGAGTGAGACATCTGGTATGATCTATAATCTATGCCTGGACCCCACCCTTGACCCAGTCCCCCAGCAGTGTGTGAGAAAAACATTTTCTGCCTCTTTCGTTCCTCAGCCGGCAGAAAATAACACTTATCTATTGGCGACCCTTGCAGGGTGTTAGCCAGGATTTCAAAAGTGGCCATCCAAAATAATTTTGTGGGCGTGGCAACATATTTTTATGGGCGTGGTCACATGTTTTTGGGCATGGCCGCAATTTTCTGCTGTTGAGGAATTGTGGTGTTTTATTCGTTGAACCTTTTTACTTTTAGATGCACATTTTCCTCAACAAATTAGTAAAAGCACACGTATGGTATGATCACTACCATAACTGCATGTAACGTGGCGCTCAAGCGATAAAACGATTGCTTTTTTTTTAAACAGCGGTTTCAAATTATTCTCCTTGATACTTCACGCGAGAATCATCAAAAACATGGTGCGTTTTGCAAAAATATGGCGCGAAGTATTCAAGAAATATTGCAAAGCTTGTAGGTTGCTATTTAAAGAAATTATTCCCTTAGGCCGTCCATTAAAATTTAGCCGTCCAAATTCAGAAGCGGCCGTTCATAGGACGGTCGTCTTGGTATATATGATACGTAATGCGCACTGTACGAGGGGGTCCTAGAACAATAGATACTAGAACGATGAAGAATTTTAACAGAGAATCGTTTCTAAGTGATCTTGAACTAAACCTGCATAATACCTGCTTTGGGATGGTATCTATTGTTCCCAGGACCCTAACGAAATGTGGGATGTCTGGAAAAAAATGCTGATGGAAACTATCGATAAGCAGGCACCACTCAGATCAAGGAGAAATAGAAACAGGAAATCCCCTTGGATTACAAAGGATATAAGACATCAGATCGTTAACCGAGATTACCTAAAAAGAAAGCTATTAGATCCAATGTGTAGGCAAAACTAAAAGAATAACACAATTAGAAATGTGTAGGCAAAACTAAAAGAATAACACAATTAGATTTCGAAGAACGAAAAATAATTGCGCCAATAAAAATAGCTGAAACGTTTAAAATAGCTACTTCTCTGGTATTGTCGAAAAACTCGCTTCTGAAATTCCTGATCCATGTTTTTATCTTAAATCTACAATATACCAAACAAGCTTTATTCTTATTTCACTGTCAGAACTCAAAAGTGCCGGGTAAATGAACAATTGTCAAATTCTGCGCCAGTGACTTCTGGTGTCCCTCAATATAGCAGTCTTGGGCCACTATTATTTAACATCTATATCAATGATCTACCAAACTGTCTCAATCATACAACTCCAAGAATATTTGCAGATGATACAAGTATCAGTTATGCGACCGATTCAGCCGAAGAGCACCAAAATGTCATCAACTCTGAATGGACCACTTGCGTATAATAGACTAAATTTTGATCTAAACAAATCTAGACAAAAATTTCATCACAACTTGAAAGAGCATCACAAAATTAGTAATATTCCAAAGTTTCGTTGCGAAATGTTGTAAAATGCGGATAATATATAGCCTTGCGAAGTTTGCAATTTCAGTCATTTTAGATTATAAACGGGAAATTGACAGCCCCAAAGGGTATTGGGCTGTCAATTTCCCGTTTGTAATCCGAGAACCTATTAACCCCCCCCCCCCTCCCTATGTGGTCTGTGCATACTGTCTGATAAACTATGCAAAAAATCGCTTCAGCCATAGGGGCTTTAAAAGTATAAGATCCTGTATTTCAATGAATACTGCTATTCAAGTATATCAAGCACTAATTCAACCTGGGATGATGGTCTTGGCGAAACGCTATAAGTTCTAAACTACAAAAATTTCAGAACCGGGCAGTTCGAGTCATTACGAAGTCCAGCTATGACACTAACGCTGGCGTGCTTCTTGATACTCTAGGGCCTTGATACTCTAGGACAACGAGGGCCTGCGGAGGAGGCAGCCCCCCCACGAGATCACATTTTGCCCCCCCCCCCAGGAAAAGTCTTTTTTTCCTAAAATTATACAAACAATCCAGCGAAGATTAACAAATAGATAAACGGTTTAACAAAATCGATTTAAATTGTTACTTTTTTACCACTAAGCCATGATAAATTATTGTTAATATTTTTGTATATTTTTTGGATGCTCAGAATGCAGAAAATAGCATTTCACGGTTTCAAATTTTAAAAATTTTCTTGGGATTATTCCTCTAATAAGCAATGATAAATTACAGTTAATATTCTTTTTTACTTTTTGTGCATTTTTCCATCTTTTATTTCAAATACAACTATAGTTAGCATAAATTTTAGAGCAAATTTGGATGCTCAGAATGCAGGAAATGGCATTTCCGTGGTTCAAATTTCAAAAATTTTCTGGGGGAGTACACCCCCACACAACTGACCATTGCTATCCTCCTCTAAGTAATGATAAATGATGGTTAATTTTTTTTACTTTTTGTGTGTTTCTTCCTTTATTTATTTCAAATACAAGTATAGTTAGGATAAATTTTGGAGCAAATTTGGATGCTCAGAATGCAGGAAATGACATTTCCGGGAGTCAAATTTCAAAAATTTTCTGGGGGAGTACACCCCCAGACCCCCCATTCATGCGTGGTATATTTGCCACACACGTGGCTTTCAGCCATTGCTATCCCCCTCTAATATATTATCTCACAGAAAGGTCCCTTTTCAAAAAATGCCCCCCCACGGGAAAATCCTTAAAAAGGGCCCTGACGCAAAAAGTTTAACGCTGGTTTGATGTTTAAAACACTTAAAGGTAATATACCTTCCTCTATCTACAAAATCTTTTTTCAGTTCGTGACTCAGATTACAATCTTAGGAACTTCGAAATGAAGTTAAATTTGCCTAAACCACGAACTAATTATTTAAAACGAATTAAGCTTTCAGTATAGTGGAGCGCTATTGTGGAATAGTCTTCTTGAACATATACGAAAGCTTCAATCATTTGCACAGTTTGGTAAAGTTGGAGACAAATATTATAGTAGTTTAAATGAACTCCCACACAGCAATCTCGTAAATCAGTAGATTATAACTTAAAATGTTTTCATTACCTATGGATGCTTTATTTTGTCACTAATGTGTTATACTGAAGATACCGTGTATAAATAATTTTTTATTGTATTGTATTGTATTGTATTGTATTGTATTGTATTGTATTGTATTGTATTGTATTGTATTGTATTGTATTGTTCGTTTCGAGCAAAGACCCTAATTCTTCGGGAAGTTACGAAGACGTTTGGACTTTGGAGCGAAGGCAAATCGTCGGGTAGTTGCGAAGTACGAAGTCGAGACTTCTTATATCTTTTAGGTAGTGAGTTTCTGATACAGTTACACAGAGTTTGGTAATGATATTTGCATGTACAAAAAAAAAGAAATCAAATTCAAAGATACAACAGGCTGGTCGTACAGCGTACAAAAGATTCCTTTAATGCATTCTCAATGTTCCTTTAATGCATTCTCAATGTTCCTTTAATGCATTCTCAATGCATGATTAAACAAGTACAAGCTATAAGGTAGACTAAAACAGTTAATTACATTCGGTGAAATTCATGCAAAAGTTTATTTCATTGAACTGTACGCGATGACTACTCCTTGGCAAGGCTTTTCACCTGATCATTGAAAGTAGTAGTAAATTTGGGAAATCGACCTTCCACGACAAAAAAATCACCCACACACTTTACTGCTTTAAACAATTTCCAGCGACGATTAACATCCACCGCGAATGCTGAGGAAGCACCATTTGGTGATCCAGGAGGAAAATCCGCCGTGATATCATCGTGACGTTCCTTTGTGTATTCCTGAATTATAGAATAAACGAAAAGTGATGGAGGCCACAACTGCAATGATAGGTGCAGGTTACCTTTTGGAAGGGGATGGGAAGCTTAGTAATGCATAACTTCTGCTATTTAAAGTTAATATCTGTTTAAAACACTAAAGCCTAAAGGCCTTAGGATGTACAAGGGCAACACGACGAAAACAAACTCTTTGATATATATGAAGAATTGCAAGGAAAACTTCATATGCCTAAAACGTGACAGGTATAAACTTGTAGTCAATTGTCAGTTATGTCAATTTTAGTTTGATTTTAGCACTAGTTCTACTTCAGTACTGGACAATTGTGCTGAGTATCACTGTTCGCGTCTTGAAATGGCTACCGTTGTAAGCAAGACGTAAAAATCTGCACTTTGCCGTAATAACTGACTGCGAACAACGTCTTAAACTCCCGTTGGATTTCAATTATTCATTTCTTTTCTTAAATATCACAATTTCATTGTATTAAATTTGAGCACGATATGAAGAATTATCAAGCCCGAAGTTTGCCGGGCTTGATAATTCTTCATATTGTGCGAAAACCGAATTCAATAATTGTTTTATTATTTATTTAAAAAATTCAAAACAAACATTTGTATTTTATTTGTATTAAGAAAAAAACAATTCCTTAGTCCTTCGGCAGCCGTCGTCGCGTCATATCAATGGCGTCAGCGAATCAATATGATTCTCGTCGTCATAGTAATATGGCGCAAACGCGTCCAAATTTTTTTCATCTTTCAATTACTAGGAAGTTTAACAAATATTGAAATGTTTAAGAAAAAGTTTTTTAGTACGATTTCGGATGTTGAAAAGTTGCATATAAAGTTTTGTAAACGGATTCTGGGAGTCCATTCCAAATCTACCAATCTAGCAGCAATTGCTGAACTAGGAAGATACCCAATGATTATCCAGGTTTCCACATTAGCCATCAAGTATTGGTTAAGAATAAATAGTCCAATGTATGAAAACCAGTTTGTGGGTAAAGCAGCACGTGTATGCATTCAATCATGTTGTCCGATTGCAAAATTCAATCTTTTTTTGTTAGAGATATGTAACTTTAATCCTTTAAAACATACTACAATTTGGAAGAAGAGTGATATTAATAATGTAGTTAAAAGTATCAAAAACGAGTTATGTGAAAGATTTAATATCATGTGGAAAGTTCAGATTCAACAACTCAGTAAATTGCAAGTTTTCAATCTTGTAAAACCTAGTATAGAATTTGAAAGTTATTTATCTCAAGTTAAAATTGTGAAGCACCGTCAAGCAGTGACTAGGTTTAGGATATCCGCTCATAAGTTACCAATTGAAACTGGACGATATGCGAATATTGAACACGATTTACGTCTATGTCCAATTTGTAACTCGAATGAGATTGGGGACGAATATCACTACTTTTCACATTGTAGTAACAAAAGGTTAGAAAGACTGCGAGAAAATTTTTTAAATGAGTTAGTCGATTATAACAGCAAATTCAGCTTGTTGGGTACAAATAATTTATTTTTATACTGTGTGTCAATGAATGACAAAAACATTATTAATCCTACGGCTAAGTACATATACGAAATTATGAAGATTTTTTTAGATCTTGCCTGCATCTAGCTCTTCCTTGACTTGTCCTTATTTAAATTTTGTCATTGTTGTAAATATTATTTACTCTTGTTCTATTATGTTATTTTTATATAGCTTATAGACATTTGCTGTATTCTTTATATACCAGTACTGGTATTTTGTTTGTTGAATAAAGTTATTATTATTATTATTATTTCTTTCACTCTTTGACGTCATTTTGCTAATATGAATGTAAAAAATCCGTATTTGGTTAGCCATTGTCGTTCACATTGCTGCCTCAATCTTAAGGTCTCTACTGGCGTGCAACTAGCATTTTACAACATAGGGGGAGTGCGTATTCGTTCAGTTACTGCACCCAACCTTGCCGAAATTTTTCAAATTAGGCAGATTAAACGAAATCAAATGCGTGCACTCTTATCCGTTTTCTACCCAACGAAATGCTGACAAAAGTCACTCACCATAGGATTTGGGTTAACTCCTCCGAAATTGAAGCGTTTAAATAACACTATGGCATCAGTATCATCTGGGAGAAGGTACATAGAACCGTTGTGGTGAGATATATCAACGACATTGTCCGCGCTGCTCAATATCTTGATATCATCTTCGCTGCTCTCTGAAATTCCTTCGTTGTAGTTTATTTCCTTGTATAAAATCCAAGTACCAGTATTGACTTCGGCGTGTTCGTAGCCATGAGAAGCCAAATGGGTTTCACTATTACGGAACACCCTGTCATCAACATCTGGTTTTTGTAAAGTGATAGACATGTTCTGCAAGGAAAGAGAAATGCCTTGATTATTATTAATATTGAAAGTCATTTAACAGAATTTTCAATTACACTACTCGAATGTTCCTGTTTATATATACCAGACTAACGCCGGTATTCAAAAAGCACGCTCACACTCACACTCACACTCAATGAATGGAGGTTCAATCTGAGCTTCTCTTGAGTGTTAATGCTGTTTTTGAATAGCTGGAGGGCTAGTGTCATACCTTACTATGCGACTACTCGCCCTCCAGTTATTCAAAAATAGCATTGGCACTCAAGAGAAGCTCAAATTGAACCTCCACTCATTGAGTGCGAGTGTGAGTGAGCTTTTAGAATACGGCCCAAGTATCATTCAATGCATGCAGTGGTAAAGACTTCAAAAACGTACTGCAGTGATAAAGACTTCAAAGACGTATTTCTTGTTTGGTACCAAACAAAGTTCACCAAGCTTGTAGTCTCTTCGATAAGCAGCCTTGCAAGTGATGCCAAAGCTGTTTGGTGGCAGGCTATATATAAGATTGGTTGGCACTGCTAAAACAAGAAAAACCTGTTTGGGGAACTACTTTACAATGTGCCCACTGGATTCACGGTCACGTGATCTTCGTTTGCCGTTTAGGCCTTTAGGGGCAAGAACCTCACTACAACGTTTCACTGCTTGACATTTTTAGTTTCGTCCGTCGCTTGAATGCCATCTCAAAGTCTTCAGTTCAGGGGTATTGGTCGATCGATAAAAAAGATGCATGTCGTGACCAGCAAATTCGGCATAGTGTGAACGTGGTCTAAATATTATTGACAACAATGATTACTTCAGTTGATTCGCGTCAGTGATCATGACATGACGCCTTTTGACAACAGGATATTTTACACAAACAGCATGTTTTCGGGAAAATTCTGGTGAAATCAAATAACTGGTTTTGAGAAAAATATAGCTTTAGTGGTAAAATTCTCAAATTCAAAACCATTTGCTACTTGGAATAAGGTGATGAAAAGATTCTGATGTGGATATCCAAAAGTACAATATGACTTCTTTCACCAGAATCCAGTGTTATCTTTTCAATCTTAAGATAGTGAGTGTTGCTTGATATGTACGTAAATATCGGACTTATAATATTCCCAGATCAACACTACAAAGAAGCATTGAGGATCACGAACACCCCATCACTGTACGATAGAAGACAGGAATTAACAACAAAACTTTTTAAGGACATAGTCAATAATCCTGAGCACAAATTAACGGATTTGTTACCGCCATTAAATAATGACAATAGCCATTTTTTGCGTAAAAATAGGAAATTTAACGTGCCACTTCATAAAACGAACAGATTTAGGAACAGTTTTATCACTTATAACTCTAATAAGTTTTCTGAATAACTTAGAAACTGTTTTACCGCGAATATGCTGGTTTTTTAACCTAATCTAAATTAGCATTAGTGAGTGTTTTAGTAACAAATTATAAGTCTGCGCAAACAGTATATATATGTGAATGTGTATTTTTAAGTATTTAGTCTAATCTTGTTCGTTTTCTTAAACAAATACATGTAAAATTAGTTTTAATATCCTTGTAAACCTAACATATTTCAGCAGTGGAATTAGTTATATTCTGGGGCTCTAAGTTTTAGTGTCAAATAAACTATCAAACTATCGAACTAATTTTGTGATACTCTTTCAAGCTGGGATGAAATTTTTGTCCAGGCTCAGCTTGCACGCTTGTAAATAGATAGGTTTGACAATGATTTTGAAATAGAGTCAAAATATCACTTGAATTTTGTTTATCTTGTTCTAATAAGTCATATCTTGCGTTTACGAGTTGTTACTATTTGCAGTGTGTTTTTTGCAATATTTCTGAAAGAAGAATACAGTTAACATTCAAACATTATATGGGCGTCTTGGCTGATGAGCGATCGGAAAAGCACATCGAAAATTTGCGACGAAAACTTCAAAAGGCTTTTCGTACAAAAATGTACTTATATGTCTTATTATTTGATATATCATTAAAGTAAAATGAAATATTCGTGAAGTTAATTCCAAATTTTCCTCGGCCCCATGCGATTACCTATACCAATTCCAAGTAGGAAATGGTTTAGAATTTGAGAAATTTACATCTAATGCTATATGTTTCTTAAAATCGTTCATTTCATGGAAAAACTTCCCACTGTGATGTTTTTCGGCATCTCAAATATTTGAAATAAATATATACTCGCTGTTTACACTGAGACAATTGGTTCCCGTTGAAGTTTCCGGTCATTGTTGTGAATGCTTCAAAAAGCAAATATAACTTTTGTGCAAAACACCTTTTGAAATTTTGGTTGCCGCATTATTGATGTGGCTTCCTATAAATCTTTCATAAACAATAGTACCAGTAACGTAACATCTAACCGATCTTTTTATAGTAACAACCAGTTGCGTTCACGTTTCATCCTTTACAGTATGGTTATATATCGTTTCGGTTTCGCCACCTAGTTCAAAGTAGGAAATGGTGCAGAATTTGAGAATTTTATCACTCAGATTACTAATGCTTACCCTGGTTGCCAGAGGTTCTGTATCTTTCGCCTTAAACTCTTTCTCGACAACCGGTTTCGTATTACATTTCGATTCAATTTTTTTATATAAATATCTTGGCGAGTATTTACCCCCCTTTGAAATAAATGCCACCATTGAAATCCCTCAATATAACCTTTCGAACGGGGGGTCAAGTGCCCTCAAAACATTACACAAACCGAAACAATCATATTTTTATACTCATTCAAACGGGAAAAAGAGAAAAAGTTGAATATATTCTAAAATTTGGCGTCATTTTCTGAAAGGATATATGTGCAAAATACTCTTTGTATTCAAGCGCTTTAGTGTAGAAAGTTTCGTATGAATACGGCGAGCAGAAATATTTATTTTGAATTTTTCAAGGTATCGGGTTTTACTCGCACGCACTTGTATTACGTAATACTTGGCCAATAAGGAGCTCCCTTTAGCCGGGATGACGTCAAACTCACACGTATGGGTGCACTTTGACCTGTAGAATCCATTTCTGGCATTTCTAGAGTCACGCGATACAAACTACGTGTTGTTTTGACGGTTTTTCGTCGTATTTCCAGTCAAAACAATGCGTAGTTTGTATCGCGTGACTCTAGAAATGCCAGAAATGGCATTTGACTCTAGAAATGCCAGAAATGCCATTTCTGGCATTTCTAGAAATGTTCTAGAAATGCCAGAAATGGCATTTCTAGAGTCACGCGATACAAACTACGCATTGTTTTGACGGTTTTTCGAATGAGCATACGTCTCAAGGGGCCGAAGTTATGTTCGGCGAAAGGTATGTCTATGTTTATAATTTGTTAGTAATATTGCGTAATTTGATCATATTTAAGCCTGTTTGACTTTCAAAGCTTATAAATCGCTACTATGTAGCCAGTCACTAAAACTGTCGTTATAAATTAGTATATATTTTTATACTGAATCGAATGGTGGTATTTTCATCGACATAGCATGTACTGAACCGAAGATATAAACGAAACATCCGTAGAACGTGCACGTTCTACGCGTATTATAAAATGGACCCTGCTGAGAAAGAGTTTAAATATTCCCGCTCGTATTTATTTTACGCGAGGCGAAGAGAACCTCTGGTGGCACGCGATACAAATCTCTCTTCCTTTGGTACAAAATTTGTACCAAGTACATGATTGGTTAGTTATAATTAGCAGTCACATGAAGTGATGTGTTTGGCTAGACAAAAAAACCTGTTTATAAATCTCAGAGAACATAATGTAAACAAAATACAGAAATAATACGAACGTATTAAAATGCTTTGCTTGTGGGTTATTTGAGATTAACTTAGTTTGTTCCGCTATAAAAAGATTTTCTGCGCTGGAGAAGAGCTGCCATCGCGGCATGACTTGAGTTGACGGCATGACATGTTCACTCTATGGGATAAAACGCTGAAACTGAATCGCGGAAACGGAAACTGAAATGGGGGTAAAACGCTGAACGTCACAAAATATAAAACCGGTTTTGCAAGTTCTCAAACGGCAACGTCAGCGTGGAAGAGAGATTTGTATCGCGTGCCACCAGAGGTTCTCTTCGCCTCGCGTAAAATAAATACGAGCGGGAATAAGGCGAAAGATACAGAACCTCTGGCAACCAGGGTAACTAATGCTATGTTTCTTAAAATCATGCAGTTCTTTGATATTTACGGAATTTTCCGAAAACATTGTTTGTGCAAAATATACCGCTGTCAAAAGACGTGATGATGTCCCAGTCCACTGATTTTTGAGAGGGTGTCTCTCTAAAAACCACCCACTGATTCAAGTCTCCAAAAATGAATTTCTGCGTTAGTTTCACCATGAATTGCATTTACCTCAAGAACAAACAAACGCTGTTTGAAATTTTCTTTATTTTGTGAAAATTCCGCGATTTTTCGGTCTCATCACGGTGAAAATCCACTGTCTAATTAAGCAAAAAAAAAATAGCCAAATTCAAATGCATTTCAAAAGTTTTTAACTCTTTTTCAGCAGGGTCCATTACGCGTAGAACGTGCACGTTCTACGGATGTTTCGTTTATATCTTCGGTTCAGTACACGCTATGTCGATGAAAATACCACCATTCGATTCAGTATAAAAATATATACTAATTTATAACGACAGTTTTAGTGACTGGCTACATTGTAGCGATTTATAAGCTTTGAAAGTCAAACGGGCTTAAATATGATCAAATTACGCAATATTAATAACAAATTATAAACATAGACATACTTTTCGCCGAACATAACTTCGGCCCCTTGAGACGTATACTCATTCTTGTATTCTTGATCAATGAAGCAGTTAAAAATAACACGTATAGTGTTATTTTCAAGCTTCTATCGTTAAAACGTGAGTTTTCTTGCCGAATTTTGCATTTCTGCCCGAATTTGCGTTAATCCCAAACCGGAAATACGACGAAAAACCGGCAAAACAATGCGTAGTTTGTATCGCGTGACTCTAGAAATGCCAGAAGCATTGTTTTGACCGGAAATACGACGAAAAACCGTCAAAACAATGCGTAGTTTGTATCGCGTGACTCTAGAAATGCCAGAAATGGATTCTACAGGTCAAAGTGCACCCATACGTGTGAGTTTGACGTCATCCCGGCTAAAGGGAGCTCCTTATTGGCCAAGTATTACGTAATACAAGTGCGTGCGAGTAAAACCCGATACCTTGAAAAATTCAAAATAAATATTTCTACTCGCCGTATTCATACGAAACTTTCTACACTAAAGCGCTTGAATACAAAGAGTATTTTGCACATATATCATTTCAGAAAATGACGCCAAATTTTAGAATATATTCAACTTTTTCTCTTTTTCCCGTTTGAATGTTTGGCGAAGCCGTGAGTATAAATATATGATTGTTTCGGTTTGTGTAATGTTTTGACGGCACTTGACCCCCCGTTCGAAAGGTTATATTGTGAGGATTTCAATGGTGGCATTTATTTAAAAGGGGGGGGGGGGTAAATACTCGCCGAGATATTTATATTAGAAAAAT